GAGCGAGTGAGACGCTGGAGATGCTGGGTGAGGTCCCGTGGGCGATGCGTCGTCCTAGATGGAGTGTGCGCTGGGTCAGGAGGCCAGGGCGGCTCAGGGGGAGGGACTGGGTGGGTGCAGAGCCACCTGCAGCCTGGGGGCCTCACACATTCTTGCTCGAGGGGCCTGGTTTTCGGTCCCCCAGATCTCTGTCCGGACATGCCGGCAGCGGCAGTGGTTTCCACGCTGTTGCTCATCCAGCTGCTGAAACTCCAGTGAGGGGAGTTTTCAGAATAATGGGTATCTGGTCGCTCGCCAGGACTCCTGGCCTTTCCTTGAATCTGAATCGCTCCCTTCCCCCTCTGCCTCTGCCTGTTCTGGGCCACAGGCACCCAGGGTGGGACGCAAAAGTGTCCCTCGCCCTGTGGCTGTCACAGAAGCATCACAGCTGGCAGGTCATACCTCCTGCCTCACTAGATCGGTGCTCCCTGAGGACGGTGCGGGTCCACCTGCAGCCTGGCACCATCAGCAGCAGGAGACGGGCTGGGCGGGCGGAGGATGAACCGCACCCTTTCTCTCCCCAGGTGGCTTCTGGCACAGCAGTTTAATTGACCGAAATCTCATTGACTACTTCATCCCCTTCCTCCCCCTCGAGTATAAACACCTGAAGATGTGCATCCGCGTGGAAATGCAGGCCCGAGGCTATGACGTGGATGAGGACATTGTAACCAGAGTGGCCGACGAGATGACCTTTTTCCCCAAAGAGGAGAGGGTTTTCTCTGACAAAGGCTGCAAAACTGTGTTCACCAAGTTGGATTATTACTACGATGACTGACGGCCCAGGAGTGGTTGCCACGCTGGAGAGAACTCAGTGCGCGAACCTTTCCACATACCTCCCGCCCGCCCGGAGCAGTGGTCCAGTGGATTTCTCCTGCTGGACGCGAGACGGGCCTTCCTTGGCGCTGTGTGCACCCAGCGGAGCCTGCGGGCCGTCTCCTTACTGATGTCTCCTCGGAGCAGCGGAGCCTTAAGAAGGAAGTCGCCGTTCCCAGTCCACTCGGATCAGGGCTCATGATTTTTTAAAAATCATGTTTTAATGTCAAGTGTTTCTGTTTCAAGGAAGGACGAAAAGGTTTTACTGAAAATGGGATAACTTTATTTAAAATGGTTTTTAACATTCTGAGAAGCTTTTCAGACTCTCAGTGTTGGCTTTGTGTGGTTTTTCAAATTCCCGTCACTGCAACACCATGATGTGATGTCTTGGCTGCAAAAAGCCGAAGTCCTCGGCGTGAGCGCTGGGTGGGGACAGGCTGAGCAGTGCAGTCTTTAGGTGAAAGGACGGACGGACGAAGGCACAGGCAGGTCACAGAGAAGCCTGCAGTGTCCTCCCAGGGGTTTTCATCCGAGTAGCACCGTGAACACTTGTTAGGACATTCCCCAGAGCCCGGCAGTGTGGCTCAGTGGTTGAACTTCGACCCAGGAACCAAGAGGTCACTGGTCGGACTCCTGACCAAGGCACATGCTCAGGTTGCAGGCTCAGTTCCCAGTGGGGGGCGTACAGGAGACAGCCATTCGATGTTTCTCTATCCCTCTCCCTTCCTCTCTCTAAACATCAATAAAAACATATTTAAAGAAGAAAGTTTCCCAGGAAGGAAAGTGCTTGCAGCTTGTCACGTGCCAGCCAGTCAGCTGTGCCGAGGAAGGTCTGCCTCCCGTTCCCCAGGGAACCAGAGCTCTGGTAGGTCTGCCATGTTTTTCTCATTATTACTACTTCCTGAGTTTGATTAGAACTCCCAACATCTCACAGGAAAACTTAGCTGCCCCAATCCTTGAGGATGCGGAGAACAGTGCTTTTATTTTTAATATAATTTAAAAAAATGTTTTTGATTATTTTTAGAGGAAGGGAGAGAAAGAGAGAGAGAGACATCAATAGGCTGCTTCCTGCACACCCCCTACTGGGGATGGAGCCCGCAACCTGGGCATGTGCCCTTGCCGGGAATCAATCATATGACCTCTTGGAGAACAATGTTTTTATTAATGCCAGGAGCTATCATCTATACTAATAAAAGGATAATATGATAATTAGACCAGGAGACCTTCTGGATGTCCTTCCAGACAAAGCCATTGTGGCAGGGCTGACGCAGAGGTGGTTAGGGGCGATCAGGGGCCAGCAGGCAGAGTGCTTAGGGGCGATCAGGCAGGCAGGTGAGCGGTTAGGAGCCAGCAGTCCCATATTGGAGAGGGTGCAGGCCGGGCTGAGGAACAACCCCCCTCCATCCCCCACACAAATTTCGTGCAACAAGCCACTAGTTTTATTTAAAAAAACTGTAATTTCTGGACACAGTTTTAAAGGAGAAAACCCCTTCCCTGTAGGCCTTGTGTGCTTAAGCTATGAATGAAGACCTAGCAGGAGCAGTCTAGGCCGGAATCACATGAACTCTAACCAGAGACCGAGGATCCTAGGACAACCTGGCCACTCGCCCAGCTGCATGGGGCATTGCCAACCGTGGGGCTCATGCAGCTCCTGACACCAGCCGTGGAGTCTAAGTCCAGAGACGCCAGGCAGGAGTAGGGAGTACTGCTGACTGACATACCTGGTTACACAATCCGCACATGCGCCTACGAACAGGTGGGGCTCCTGGGGGGTGAGGCCTGAGCAGTGTTCACAGGGACAGGTTTCAGCGGGCACAGACGGGTTGGCAGCCTGGCTGTGGGCTGATGCAGGACCCTTTGCCACCCAGGCCCCCTGAGGACGGCTCTACATGCTGGAAAGTTCTAGACGTTGAGCCGACTCTGGTCTGTTGCCAGGTCTCCAGGAGTCACAGATTGGGATCTATCATGCATTTGAAGATGGCAGCACCTGGGGGTCCCCAATTACAGAACACAGAGGTCCCCTGACTCAATTTGGAGTTGTCTTTGTAGATGAGGCTGTCTGGGTGGGAGCCAGACCGGGAATGTCCGTCTCCTGGGACTTGAGCACTTCCAACTGAGAAGTGAGGGGTGTGGGGGCGATGATGGGAAGAGGGTTTGAACTTTAGAAAGTCAGCTGGCTCTCCTCAGCTCTGGGGAAAGGGCTGGTGTTAACAATTCACTGACAGATAAGAGGCAGGTAAGTGTGATTAAGCTGAGCTCTGGGTTACAACTAGGGTTTCATTTCCAGTTCTGGGGGGAAGACCTGGCAGTTAGGTTTCCTGGTCTGACGTTGGCCTAGCTCAGGTTCAGAATGTCAGCTGAGCGTGGGCCTGCGGGTCCCAGGTTCGATTCCAGTCAAGGGCATATACCTTGGTTGCAAGCTCAGAGGCAACCAATTGATGTGTGTCTCTCACATCGATGTTTCTCTCTGTCTCTAAAAATAAAAAATGTCAGCCAGACAAGTTGCGTTTCCCCATGTCTGAAGTCCCTCCACTTGTCTTAGAAAACGTTGGAAGTCCAACGATCTTGATACTGTCTCCATCCATGAACATGTGATTGGAGTAGAGCCCCTCATCCAGGTTAACATGGTATTTGTCTGGGTATAAGAGCCTGTAAGGTAAATACTGATTCTGTGTGATGCCGCCTGCAAACCACCATGGCCGGGCACACGGAGCCCAGCACCCGAGTTGCTGAGCCTTCATTCCAAGCTCAAACTTTTCAGTTACCAAGTACATAAACTAAGGGGGACATTTGCAAATGACATCTCACATGATACAATTCTGGCTTTATCATTTTATATTCACTGGGTCATCTCAAGCTCCCATGTACATTGTGTGGGGTGGGAGAGGCTGTTCCATGGTCAACCGTGGCCATTTCAAGTTACAAACCAGTAATGGTCCCAGCTGGAAGAGAGAGACATGGAATGGCTCTTTCCCTAGAGTAGTGATGGCGAATGTTTTGAGCTCGGCATGTCAGCATTTTGAAAAACCCTAACTTAACTCTGGTGCCGTGTCACATATAGAAATTTTTTGATATTTGCAACCATAGTAAAACAAAGACTTACAGTTTTGATATTTGTTTATATATTTAAATGCCATTTAACAAAGAAAAATCAACCAAAAGAATGAGTTTGCACGTCACCTGTGACACGCGTGTCATAGGTTCGCCATCACTGCTCTAGGCTGTACTTGACATCCACGTGATTACTTTTATAACGGGCAGTTTCGACATGGCCAACATGTGTTGACTGCATCATTGTAAACCAGGGGTGGGGAACGTCCGGCCCCAGGGCCATATAAAACCCATGAAATCATCTGGTCTGGCCCTGCCAAAGCGTCAGGGGTAAGTTAATTAACTGTTTGACCAAATATAGCAGGCTAACTTTTAAGTTGATAATTCTGTATGGCCCATGAATGATGTTACAATATCCAAATGGCCCTTGGCAGAAAAAGGTTCCTCCAATCTGAGCATTCGTTACCTCACTTTGGCATTTTTAAAGGACAGTATGATCCTCCATAAGGCCTTCCATGTCATAAACATATTAATTTACCACATCTACGTGAAAAGGCTGCACGTCCTCATTACATCTGTAGGTCCACTGCAACCACGAGCTAAACGCTTCACACGGGCGGGGATCGTCTGATTTCCCAGGGACCAGGGCCGTCCAGCCTGGCACCGCCACAGAGGGCGTCACTATCAGATGACACCCAGGAAAGCCACAACTCCAGGATGACCAATAATTACTTTGTTCTATAATTGTGACAATACAGTACCATGCATTTGACAATAAATCATACCCTTCATTTTCAGAGTTTCTGATCACAGACAATTATTCCATTAGTGTCCTTCCCATGTTTAAAATGAGCAATGCCCTACATTAGTATTCTCTAACATTCAGAAATACAAACATTATAAAAATATACTCATCCTTGGCCTGGCTGGTTTCGCTCAGTGGATAGAGTGTTGACCTGCGGACTGAAGGGTCCCAGGTTTGACTCCGCCCAGGGGGATGTGCCCAGGTTGCAGGCTCGATCCTCAGTGGGGGTGGCATGCAGGAGGCAGCTGATCAATGACTCTCTCTCATCATTGATGTTTCTATCTCTCCCTCTCCCTTCCTCTCTAAAATCAAGAAAAATATATTAAAATATGTGTGTGTGTGTGTGTGTGTGTGTATACACTCATCCTTGAAAACTCTAGTGTTTCTAGTGTACAATACTTCCACTTTGGCAATGCAGAGTCTGCAAGCTGACCCCATCTCCACAGAGATGACCGTGTTCTAGGATTTCAAATGGTTCTGTGGGTTACAGCAAGAAAATGACCCAAGTGTACACTGTAACAAACATTTCCCCATGGGACCAAGGACTTGAAACTGAAACCAACGCTCTGGTTCCAGTCCGACTAGCGGTGGGGGAAGCTGGTGGTCACTGACGTTCAGAAGAAGTGCCACAGGCGAGCGGGTTCCCCGAGCAGCAGAGCAACGGCCAGGCGGCGATGATCTGTCCGTCCGGCTGCCGCACAGACGAGGACCCCACATGTCCTCCCGCCAGACGCGGCCTGCGCCTGAAGGCACCACCATTCTCCACTGAAAATACTTCAAGTCGGGACGCTCTCTGTGAAGAGAGAACCGGAGCGGAAGCCTGATTCCGGCAGGTGACAGCCAGTGCTCCCAGCTTGCAGCAGGCCCTGGACTTCAGGAGGGACAGCAGCTTGAGGGCCACAGTTATGGGTCTCACACAGACAGCTGTTTGAAGGCACTTCTGCAAAGTCAGTAGGAGTGGGGGAGAAGGGTTTTAAAAGTTCATCTTCAACTGCAACAACAGTTGCATTGCTACCATGTTGCAAAATGACAAGTGCACTTGGCAATTTAGCGGCTCATCAAAAATCAACTCATAGAAACTTCTAGATTCCAAAAGTCCACAGGTACAAATGTGCAAACCCTGACGACATCTTCAGAATGCTTCTGAAAGGCCAGGCCCTCGCTCCTGAGCTCCCAGCTGCCTCGGGCCCTGCTCGGATGGACGTCACTGGAAATCCAGCCGCGACTGCACAGTCTTGCAGCCCCTGTCGGAGTAGATTTTTTCACCTTTGGGGTAAAACGTCATTTCCTCTGCCACTCTGGTGACAATGTCTTCGTCTATGGCGGAGCCACGGGCCTTCATCTCTGCCCGCACACACATCTTCACATGTGTGTACTCCAGGGGCAGGAAGGGGATGAAGTAGTCGATGAGTCTTTTGTATATCAGTCCGCTGCGCCACAGGCCACCTGCAAAACAGCCCGTCACGGTCACCTGGCGAGCTCGCTGCTCTCACAGGGCCCGTTCTATCCCGACCACAGCACACCTTCGTGTCTTCACCCCTTGAAAGTCTTTTTGTCAAGCATGCAACAAACCTGATGTAAGGATCGGTTGGCTCCCCTGCACACTGGCTTCTAGAGCATGTCAACCTAAGACATGTCCAGCCCGGCCAGTGGGTGAGCATCAAACTATGATCCAGGAGGTCACAGTTCAATTCCCGGTCAGGGCATGTGCCTGGTTGCAGGCTCGATCCGCAGTGTGGGGCGTGCAGGAGGCAGCCAATCAATGATTCTCTCATCACTGGTGTTTCTCTCTCTCTCTCCCTCTCTCTCCCTCTCTGAAAGCAGTAAAGACATATTAAAAAACACACACACACAACAGAGGAAACACCTAAACCTACAGAGAATTTTTATAAAAATGTATTTTGAGCCAGAGGACGTACCTAGAAGCATGATCTCAGCAAACTGGAAAAATAAAAAGCCTCCAGAAGGACAGCTTTGCAGCTTCTTTTATGCATTTAGGATTCCGGAGGGAAAGTGAGGAAAATGAAATGAAGGTGGGAGAAAGCCAGGCGGGTTGGGTTCAGATTAAGACGGTATGGGCTCCCTGAGGATATTACGCATTTGAGGAGTCTGAGAAAGAGGCTTACTCCAGCAAATCAAGGTGTGTTAACCTAGATGCTCAGAGGCAAGGGACAGGGTTTGCTTAACCCATTGTACGCCAAAAGCATCCTTAGATGCAAGCGGCAGACCTTCCCATACACCACTCGGGTCTATAAGAAAAAAAGTGTTTTCCCTAAGTGGCAGCCCTGACCAACTTTAAAATCACTTTTCGTGAGAATTTTCAGCTGAAAATATTCAAGAACACCCAACTTGTGAGTAATATTTTTATAATGTTAACTGAAAATTGATTTTTCTAATTAAATTAAAAATATCGTGGCATGTGGGGATGATTTCTGTTTTGGACTAGTGGTAGTAACTGGTTAAGGCAAAGATAAGCCTTTCACTAAAGAAGTTACATGCCGCCCAGCTGTCGAGGCTCAGTGGTTGAGCATCGACCTATGAACCAGGAAGTCAGGGTTCGATTCCCAGTCAAGGGCACATGCCCAAGTTTCGGGCTCGATCCCCAGTGTGGGGTGTGCAAGAGGCAGCCGATCAATGATAATTTCTCATCACTGATGTTTCTATCTCTCTTTCCCTCTCCCTTCTTCTCTGAAATCAATAAAAACATATATTTTTTTAAAAAGTTACATGCCCAGGGTGTGACTCCCTGTCAGGGCCTTCCCAGTTATAATCAGATCACCCTGTGAGGTTACCTTTCATAGATAGAACCCCTGAGAAACACCCTGAGAAAGCCCCTGGCCCGGCAAAGCCCCGGAGGCGAGCGGGTCCTGCGGCCTCTGTGAAAGGCTTGGGGAGAGGACTGCTGGCAGGTGCAGGGCTGCCCCTGGAGACTCACTGTGCTTGTTGTTGAAGACTCCCACCGACAGTGCGTGCTCCAGGTCTTTCAGCTGGATGTCCTCCCTCTTCCTTCCCGCACGCCAGAACTCCAGGGCCGTCTTCGTGATGAGGTCCCCGCCTGCGTTGCTGAGTTTGCCCAAGAAACAAAAATTAAAACCACATACTAAGACTTCTGTGCCTAGGGGCTGGGGGAGGTAGAAGAGGGTAAAGGAGAGATAAATAGAGATGGAAGGAGACTTGACTTGGAGTGGTGAACACACAATGCAATATGCAGATGATGTATTATAGAATTGCACACCTGAAATCTATATAATTTTATTAACCAGTGTCACCCCAATAAATTCAATAAAAAAGGAAATAAGTAAATAAAATGCTTCTGTAAGGAAAAAAAAGTAGTTGGAGAACAATATGTAACAGTAGCAATAATGATAGCTAGGTTGGAAGTGGTTCAGTCTATTATGCTCTTAAACAGAAAGATGTTGCTGAGGCAAGCCTTAAAGAATTGATAGGATTTAAATAACTGCCTGCTTATAAACCCCACTATTCCAAGTGGCACCTTGGGGGTTTAGGGCACATCCTCAGAATCTCTTGGGCTGGTTATAATAATTTTAAAATTTAAGAATGTGTTAAATCTATCTGTCAGATCCACCTGCAAGTACAGCACCATTTTCATTAGGAGTGGAAGAAAGAAGACAAAGAATGACTTTATAGCATGGGTATGATGACCATATATTTGGAACTCCAGCTCCATATTTGAAAGTGAGACTATACAAACAAACAAACAAACAAACAAAAAAAACCCACAAAAACAAACAAAAAAAACCTTGTGCTCAATAAATTGCAAATTGTCTGATACAGACCCCAAGACCCCCTTTTCGCTCATTGCAGGGAATGTGTTATTGCTCTGCACAGTGGACTCCAGTTCTCTGCTTCAGTGAATACTTCAGGGAAGTTAGCTTTCAGAGAGATGCTTGCCAATAACTTAAAGACTGACTTGGGTTGCAAACTTATCTCCAGGTAGCCCTTTGCAGCTTAAAGTTGAAAGATCAATGGATTGAATGGATAAAAGTGATGTTTTGGTCTAATCTGAATGGAGTGAAGGTTACAGGGGTGGGCAAACTTTTTGACTCGAGGGCCACAATGGGTTCTTAAACTGGACCGGAGGGCCGGAACAAAAGCATGGATGGAGTGTTTGTGTGAACTAATATAAATTCAAAGTAAACATCATTACATAAAAGGGTACGGTCTTTTTTTTTTTTTAGTTTTATTCATTTGAAACTGCCGGCCTGCAGGCCGTAGTTTGCCCACGGTTGGCCTAGGGGCTGGGGGAGGTAGAAGAGGGTAACTAACGGGGATAAATGATGAGGGAGGGAGACTTGACTTGGGGTGGTGAACACACAGATGATGTGTTATAGAATTGTACCCTGAAACCTGTAACATTTTATTAACCAATGTCTCCCCAATAAATTCCATGAAAAAAAAAAAGACTTCTGTGTCTAATGAGGAAACACACCTGCTAGACAAAACAGTGTCTGCCCTACAGTCTTTGTTTAGAACCTGCTACCTAACGCCACCACTTTACGTAGAAACATGTGCAGTAATGAAATCGCCTGTTAGCAGCCATATTGAATTCGTCTTCTCCTGCCCCCTCTGTGCCACGCTGATACCAGCAACAGGACAACAAAGGAAATCAGGAAGTCACTCTTGCCAGGCTGGCACTTCTGTTCCTGGGAAACAGGATGCTGATGGTCGCCGGACCTCATTCCAGCCCCGGGAGGGCGAGGGGCAAGTGTGTCCCTGAGAACCACGTCCCACTAACCTGAGGAAGATGAAGATCGCCTTCCGGTACGACACGCCATCAACCTGCTCATAGTAGTCCAGAAACGGCTTGATGGCGTCGATGACCCCGGGGTGCAGTTTATCCATCTCGTCAAATATGAACATGGAGCTTGCACAGGCACTCACGTTACCCCGAATCCACCTCTGTAACTGGTCCTAGACCATCCAGAAAAGAAATAGGACGTGGAGGCTCAAAGGCTGGGCCAAGGGGTGCAGAAGTGCTCCCCTATCCCTCGTGCTCTCAAAGGGGAAAACCACAACTCTCTGGGGTTTCACAAAGAACTCTTAGCAACTGCACCCTAACGTCCCTTCGCTGGGGAACAGCTTTTCCAAAACGTTACCTATTAAAAGAGGAAACGAGCAGAGATTTTTTCCTAATTCAAATGACGTGCTAAATGCCACTTTTTAAGGAACAGGATACATGAATGCTTATCAATTCACTGTTAACCAACCCACAGCCTTCCTCTCACTGGGGACCAAAATCTCAACCTCAGCAGGCACACTGAGGAACAGGAGCTGGAGGAAGACTCGCAGTGCCGAGGGCAATGCCTTTTCCTGGTGCCGCCAACAAAGGACCAGATGACACTTCACAAAAAGCATTTGTTCCCAGGCTTTCTTGAAACAAACAAAAAGAC